TGCACTTCAAAATAAGTCCGGCTAATCTGCGGCGATCGTCGTTCTCCAAGCATATCGTGAGCGGATGGTGCAGATCTGACACGCCGTGCGCCAACAGCAACTTCACCAAATCCAAGTTGTTGGTCTTACATGCCAAACTCAGAGGGCTTTCATCAGCTTCGGTGTTGTTGACGTCAGCAGAAAGTTGGAGTAGTAAGTTCACGGCATCTGTATCTCCAACAGCACACATTTTCCTCAACATCAGGTTCTTCAAATCGTGTTCCAGTGCCAACATATAAATGCAGTCAGCGGCGATATTTTGCAGCGCATCGTCGTTGGAATTTCGGAGGATTTTGAAAATGATTCTGGAAACTCTGCGTTTGATCAGCTGCACGGACGTCTCGTGATCGTTTCTCGCAAAATCGTAAACTATTTCACAGCAACGGTGTAAAAGTTCCTCAGACTTTGTCGATTTCATTATTTTCTTTATCACGGGCAGAAGCGTCGTGCAAAAATCCTCGGACGACCCAGTTAAGCTTTGCAACAGAGTCAACGCTTTCTGTTGAAAGTCAATATTCTTTTCGTGAGTCTTTATCAAATCCAGCACTATATCAAACGCTCCACAATTAACCAAAATTTCCGAAATTCCCTCAGCGCTGCAAAACGTTCCTATGTAAGAAACCCACAACTAAAATATTACTGAATCGATGATCTAGAACCCAGTCTACTAGATACCAGACTCTACCAAAATTTTTCATTAGAAAAGTCCTACATACGAAAGAATAAGGACACCGAAAGTAAAATTGCCTTAGAGTCGGCCGTTTTTGTTCCAAAAGCCAGCCAATACAGAGCATTAAATGGGGAAATCAAATTTTCTGTTTTTTTCTTATTAATGAATAGGCAGCGATCGCTACCTTTGGAATTCAGTTGTTTTATACATGCCAATAGTAGAAAAGCATTTGTATGCAGTATTAAAGGGGAAGTCTTTGTTTTCGAGAACTTGAGCTCAAATTATAGATAAAGTAATTTTTACATTCCTTACAAAGTCTGAAAACTTAAAAATAAATAGAAGCCGAAATATTTAGAAAAGAAATACAAAATTTTGCGTGTTTCGTCCGCAATCGTCAAAATTGTTTTTGCCACAAGGAGGCATGTAAATTTCTATTTTTTCATCGCTTTGATTGGCACTATTATAACGCAACATAAAATTATCGTCAACATTTTTTATAATTTGTCTAAAAAATGGTTATCATTTGCGCTTTTGGCACAAAAATGGCGGCGAGATACCCACGTGACCATATATACCCAATCACCACAATTATAACGCGATATGCAGAGAGCAACACGTGTCTCAACTCTAATACAGCGCTCTGATCATTAAGAGTGAGACAAGCCGCCATCTTGTAAGGTGCCAAAATTGACGATATGCTTTTCTGTACGTTGATATACAGTTGCAGTGTTGATAATCTAGGTTTTGTTTTCAAAATGTTTAAAGAATCGCTTAACTTGTTTTTGAATGAGAGTTTTGCTTTTTCCACCTTTCAAGATGGCGTTCTTGCCTTACTCATTGAATTGAAACGTCTTATCTATTTTTTAGCATTTTCCGTCCATTACAAACTATTATTTTCCAAATTATTACAATAGTTTGTCGGATCAACCTCGATTCTTGCCGATTATGTTTCTCTTCGAAAATATCTTGCTATATAAAAGCTAAGCATGATACAATGCAGGAAAACTGTCAAAAAAACCGGCAAAACAAACACCAAAAGAAAAGATACTTAATTTCATGGAGGGTTAGGAAATTTTTGATGTATGTCGGCTTCAGCCAATCACGGGACAAAACTATTGGAGTTATCGCCCCAGTTTACTAATAACATAATGGACTCACATCAGCGCCTCACCCACTGAGCTAAACATATAACTGGAAAGCTACCTTGTATAAACATGCCTGTACTTGCAGCAAGCCAAATTTTCCCCCAAACACGCGTGTAAAATCCCGCGCACAAAAAGATTGGGACTAGTTAGGTTGCTGGCTACAAATTTTGGCGGGAAGTAGCCTTCCAGAAAAATTAAGCCAAAACCTTCGCACGGCAGTTATACATCAGGGATTTGGTTCTATAACATTTCCCTAAACATAGTTTTCCCGGTTACCCCCTATGCTACAGCGTATCCCATTGTGTACTCACCCATAGTGATCATAATCTTTTTCAGAAGAGGAACACGCGCCTTCATTTCTTTTAGCATAAGCAATAAAGACAAATGAACTTTTTCTACGATACATTGATGGACCACCAACGAATAATCCTGCGCTAATGTTCCCAAAAGCGAAGTAGCCTCTTTTAACACCTCGCAGTTGTGTGGAAACAACACAAACAAACGCGACATGGATGAAAGCACGTCCTCTTGAAGCAGTTTCTCCTTAAAGGGCAAATTCTCTCGCGAAATGTCGATGAGAACTCGCAAAACGCTCAAGATCTCCAGCTCGTCTTGTGAAAAGACGTTTGGGAGAATTTTTTTGTGTACATCCGTGTCGTTAAACTCCTGAATTGACATAATAAAAGAAGTTAAATTTACTAGCTGAGGGGAAGATGATAAAAGTCGTTGTACTACTGTGTCCGCATTCAACCGTCCCCACAAAGGTAGCCACCGCAAGGACACACATGCACCAAGTCCCCCTACCCCGACTTTAATTAATTTCTGAATATATTCATGCTGAGATTCAAGTGCATTCTACTTTGAAAAGCATTTAATCTCCACGACATGAACAATTGATATTCATGAAAGAGTCAATTCATATGATGCGTGCTAGTTGCATCCATCTTGCTGTTCTCTCTCGTTGTTCTTTCGTTCTCTTTCATTGTTTTCAGTCATTTTTCTCTTATGTTGTCCTCACTCGTTGTTCTCTTTTCTCTTCATTGCATTTTTCTTATTCGTTGTTCTTCGTTCACTTTCATTGTTTTCATTCATGTGGTATTTCAATTTTATAGAACATTGAAATGTCGCGGAGATTTTGAAATTTCTATTCCGAAAAGCAATTAAATAGAATGATTACAATTATAAGATTGAAAGACAGATCATTTTCCTGATGATGCGATCTCACTCGATCAATTATTTTGTCCTGTTCTATCATTCTCGTTCAGTTTTTTCTTATGTTGTCCTCACTCGTTGTTCTTCTTCTTTCATTGTTTTCAGTCATTTTTCTCTTATGTTGTCCTCACTCGTTGTTCTCGTTCTCTTTCATTGTTTTCAGTCATTTTTCTTTTATGTTGTCCTCACTCGTTGTTGTTTTTTTTGTATCTCACTCCTCAAAGACAGTTTTGGGTTATTTTACGAAAAAAGCAACAATAAAATCGATTATGCAGATCTTCAACACAGCCATTACCTGTTTTAGTGAAGGAGCATTACACAGCATCACATGAAGCAACTCACAAGCATTCTTGATTAGCGATGATTCGTTACAATGGCGAGATAACGCTGTAGAAATATCGCTCACTAGAGGTATTTCACCTTTCTTTGAGCCTATGTACTCGCACAAAAAGGGATGAATTTGGAAAAGCACGGTCAAACATCGACAAGATGCATCTTGAATGGCCACCGAATCCTTAAATTTTTTCATAAGCGTTTCTATATCTTGCAACCAAAATGTTTTACCAAAATGGTGCGCTTTGAATAAAAGAGAAGGGTAAAATGTTACATGGAGGATAAAGTTACATTAAATGTGCGATGTACTACATAAAAATTTTGAAAAATGTTCAAAGACAAGTGGGAAATTTGTGTGGAGCATGAGTATCCGAGGGTGTTGTGTGGTGTGTGTCAGTGGTGGATCTAGGGTACCTCAAAATATATTATTGCAGCTCAATTTTAAATTTCAAGTACTTTCAGTAAAGCACTATTGGTTTTGAATTTCTAAAGAATATAATTTTACCAGTAAACTTGTCTCTTAGGTCCTTAGAAATGTAAATATATTCTAAACTGCGCGACAGTAATCAATTTTGAGGTGCCCTAGATCCGCCAATGGTGTGGGTGGGTGAGCATTGGTGATGTTGGACTCCCCCAATTAAGACTCGAGCGAAAAAAATTGTTCCTTAATTGGCAAATTTTAAAGAAATTTCAACACCAGCAGGTCAAACAGGTCATAAACATATTTTTGCTAAGATCATGGTCTCATAAAAGATGTATCAACATCCAATCATTAAGGTATGCATTTCAAAACAGAAACAATTCTCATTTATTCATGTTTTGAAAATAAAATTTCTTTGAGCTATATTATTGTAGGAAAAGTTTTGTAGTTTTTGAAGCTAGCACAATTTCCCTTGCCACAAAATCTCTGTCTAGGTTCAAAAAGTGCTGAAATACCAAAATCTAATTACTTTGCTCTTCCAGATTACCATCTTTCAAAACATCTCCTGTGATTTGACATAGTGCCTTTAGTGCATCTAAGTTCTTGGCTTTATTTTCTCCAGCCTTGTGTAACTGACCAAGAATCTTTATGGTAAGTTCTACCATGTCATTTTTCATTGGAGACGTCCAAGAATCCTCACAGGACGCAAATGATTTATCTTCTGATTCATCCATCTGAGAAAATTTGTTATTTAACTTACAAAAGTTTCTAAACACATTGTGTTATACATATTTAACACAATATTATTTAAGTCTGATTCAAAGGCATTTTGGTGGTTGAATATTACGGATAACAAAATGCACAAAGCAAAGATTTGCGTCAAACCTGCTGATTGATATGAGTCATAAATCAGGTTCATAATCTGCATAAGCGCTTTTAATTTGAATACGAATGCAAATCACAGTGAATATAGTCATTTGAACTTATCTACTTTTCCATACTTCGGTTTCACAACTTCAACTGCATATTGTCGTTGGCAAACTGTGATAAAACAGTGTATTTCGCCATAGGACTCGAAATAATTCATCAGTTTCAAAAAAATCACGAGAGTTTCAGCTTTTGTTTAGGGCCTTTTTTTATATTTTAGGCGCTTGCTTTTTCTCACGTGACACCTCCATCGTATTACAAATTCAAGATGGATGGTGGTAGGCTCCGTGGAATGGTTGCTCCAATACTTCGTCAAATATTTCGTCAAATCTCTTAAAGCAAAGATGGATGTAACTATCATATGTATTTTAAGTGTTTTATAAAGTTTATAATCTTGTTAGATTTACGGTTGCTTTGAACGGATGTAGCTGTTTCCTCATCACGAAATTAAAATGAAAGTGTTCAAACCTTATTTGATAACAATTTTGCTTTCACTTGTCTTTTCACTTTATGACGCATACTTGTGAACTTCAATAATTTATGCACAAATTTCCCAATCAGTTGCTCAATCTTTCACATTCAACAAAGCCACAATTCTAAGCAATGGCATGCATCAGAAGGAAAATAAGTCCTGACTTGTAATACGCGATGAAATTTTATTTAGAAAGTTAAAATTTTCAGTCAATGGCAACGAATACATATTTTTTTGTAGAAAGTTGTTAAAATCCGAGAGATTAATCCTCACATTGTGTGCAGCCTTTGTGCCGGATACTTCATTGATGCTACAACGATAACAGAATGCTTACATACATGTAAGGTTAAACTGTGTATTTTGCAATGTTTGTACATGATCTTTGAATCTGCTCCAATGAGTCGATTTCTTTGTTTGTAATTATAACTTTAAGTTTGGGTTGATTTTTGCTGATGTTTTTTATTATTGTATAGTTCATGCAAGTGGAGACAAAACAATTGTCTTCAATCCTATGTTAATTGAAGGTGTGGGACCATATTGATATATTCTGCTATGCCTGGCTAATTTCTTTTCCAAACAATAGAAGAATTTCACTGTCAAAAGAGATCATCCTTGCATGATTATATGAATATGGTCGCCTAGATTAAAATTGGATTGACGCCCGTGGGTGCAAGTAGAACACTAATTGGGGGGGGAATATTCGTAAAGGTTCAGTTTCCATTATGCTCTGAGAGTAACAATGCTACAAGACTTGGTAATTTTAATTACCAGATCGGCTCTGGTGAGCATAATTGATTAAATAATTACAACATTTAAAACAGGGGAGTGGTATTCTTCATGGATCAACACATTTATGATAATGTATTACTCATGTGTGGTCACCCTGGAATTTAGCCAAGAGTTATGTTGTATCTGACCCTGGAACAAAAAAAGCCCACAAGTTATGTGGGGATATCCATATTTGGGATACTAGATAATAGTGAGGGATACCAAATTCTAACAGCCTTCAGGCATCATTGTGGATACTTGAAAAAAATTTCAATTTGAGACCTGACTCAATTCATGTTCTAGTTTTTCCCCTGAATACAAGTTAGGTATTGCCAGGCCAACCTGACTAGTATGGATGCATGGGCAATAGGCCCAGGTTAAGCAAGCTATTGGGAGCTTTTTGAAAGCAGGATATTTTTGTTGAAATCGGCACATTTCTTTTATACGATAAAGAACGCTATTCCGGGTACGTTTGACTGATGATCTTTGCGTTGCGGGATGTTCGGTTGGTTCTCGCATTTGACTTGAACGCGCACGTGACTTGAACGCGCACGTGACGTGTTGATATTTTAGCAAGAAATTAACGTTTTTAACTGACACGTTTTAATGCGAAAGAAAAAATTATATATACGGTGCTTTTATACTATCTATAATATACATAATTAAATAGTTTAGTTGTCTTTATCTCTTGGGAATAAATAATGTTCTTATGCAAAAAAAAATGTCAAAAATAATCATACAATTATAACATGACGAAGGTAAAAAAAAATTGGACACTCGAGATGGATGAAAGAATTTCGTGTTGGTGAAGGCGGTTTGATGTGTTCGGAAATGTCGTCGTCAATTCTGCATCTTCGGCATTGATTTTTCCGACAACAACTCCGACATCGGACGATGTCTTAGCAATTCAACAACACGTCCAATTGACGGAGGAGTTGTTGCAAATGCAAAGAATGCGTCAATTAGCCCATCTTCAATATTCTTTTTAAAATCACGCCGTCAAAGGCAGCAGATGAACGAAGATGTACAGCAAGAAAATGTTCACGATTTCAAACGTTGCGAACAAGACGTATGTAGGTTGAGTTTCATAAATGTTAATTAATCTTCAATATTCTTTTTGAATTTTGAATGTAAAATAATGTTGAAGATTAACATTTATGAAACTCAATTTTCATATCACTTCGTCAACAGAAGCAAGTAAACGAAGATCCGGCAAAAAAACCTTTACAATATAAACGTTAGCTGTTGAACGAGTTTGTGGTGATGACGTCACAAGCGGGAGGAGTCAAGTTCTTCTCGATCGTGTTGGAAAGCAGCAAATACTCTTTTTGGTAACAGTATACGTGTTGGACGTATCCCACATTTCCTGTAAAACGTGTTGGACGCATCCAACATTTCCTGTAAAACGTGTTTGACGCATCCAACATTTCCTGTAAAACGTGTTGGACGCATCCAACATTTCCTGTAATACGTGTTGGACGCATCCAACATTTCCTATAAAACATGTTGGACACATCCAACATTTCCTGTAATACGTGTTGGACGCATCCAACATTTCCTGTAATACGTGTTGGACGCATCCAACATTTCCTGTAAAACGTGTTGGACGCATCCAACATTTCCTGTAAAACTGGATTGTTGTGGTCTTTTACCACAATGAACAAACGTTCAGCAGCCATCTTCGTGTGTTTTTCCCTTCCCGGTTTGTTTCCGACACGAATTTTCTTTATTTCAACTTCAAAAAGTAAAGCACAACTTATGCTCAAACTGTTAAACAGCTTGTGGGTCCTAAATCACGTACTACAGTTTATACAAGTCTGTATAAATGTGCTTATCCTGACCACGAACAAAGAGCAAGGAAAAAAGCCTCGCGTTTAAATGGCCACTAACGTGGAACTCATTATTAATTGATCTTAAGGCTGATTTCTAGTCAGTGCAAGTTGTCGCGCGATCGACTTTTTGAGATCATTTTCTTTTAAATTGCAAGCTGTCGACGGTAACAGTTTCACATTGCTGCTCTCCAATGTCTTTTCAAGAGAAAATCGCTTCTCACTTTTCCAAAATAATTTTATGATTGCAAACATAACTATTTTACCAGCTTTATCGTACTTTATTTGATGGAAATTAGTCCGCGCTGTAGTATGTAAACTTATACTTTTCTTGTAAAATTGGAAATCAACTCATGTTGACAATGGTTAACTTGTTGAAATAAGTTGTTCATTCATTACTATTTCAGGCAAAGCAAGCTCGAGTTAGTAGTTTGCTATACATTCAATTAAAACTGATTTTTCTTACCAGTTTGCAGACGTTGCATCATCAAATACCTGCAACTCAGCAAATACTGCCCGACGTGCAACATGAAAGTCCACGAAACTCAACCGTTACTCAACGTCAGGTAATGATAAAGAAATTTGATAATTTTCTCCGTAAAGACAGGATTAAATATACAAGTTCAAACATTTGAATTGTAGCAAAATGGCGTCCGATCTATTAATTTCTCATAATTGCATCCAGAATCCAGTTTTTGGTTTATGGACATCGGCAGCTAAGACATGAACTGTAAACTACATTTACTATATATGTTGCTCTGTTGATAACGTTGGAAACAAACGTTTATGTATTATCTGATATCCAATGTGCAATCTTTAACCTGTGGTGTAAAATTAATGTATGATATTAAAGTTTACTTTTTAGTGTTCCAAATACGCTCTTGTCTTTCTTTATTTTACCATGTGATGGCCTTGTATCGCTTGCGTGTCATTTAATAATGTGTCATTAGCTACAGTGGTTTTTGGTCCCTATATTGTAAGACTGAGAGTTGTTTATTTGTAGGCTTGATAGGACGATGCAAGATATTGTTTATAAAGTTGTTCCAAACTTATTTGAAGGTATGCTTATGTTTTATTTTCATTCTTGAACGACATTCCTGCCGAAGGAAAAACTGAGAAGCTTGCTCTGTTTTTTTTCCTTTCGTGGAATGTCCAGATTAGTGAGTTGTTTTTTGTTCTGAGCAGTGCAAAATGTTTTAAGTCAACTTGGGTTATTCACATCACGTAATTTGACTATATCTTGCAGATGAAGAAGTGAGGGAACATGAATTTTACGAAGAAAGAGGAATGCCAGTGCCAAAGAAAGATATCGAATCGGAAGGTTGGTCTGACAGTCAGCTCACGCAGTTCAAACTCTCATTGTTCACAATTCTGTCAAAATACGGTGATGTAGTAAGTGTTAGGGTTTCAGTACGGTCCCCCCCCCGGAGAAAAACACGAATTATAATATGCCAAGTACCCTCTTTGACAATACTATCCTTACCAGTGCCTATACCGAACACAACATTCAGCGTACTATGAAACTGAGGTTTTTGCTGGCTGCATTTGCTGTTGAAATTTGGGGGTTATAGTGCTGCGGCTGAGCCCCTTTACAAGCCCACAACTCTCCTAACCTCCCCTCATCGTAATTTTCTTTTAGAATGCGAAAGCGACGAGGAATCGCACTCATCTTTGGTGAACGACGTCACAGAATACATGAACAATTACCGTGACGATGAGTTGATTTCAATTTACTTTAAGCCGTACGACGGGTATGATGTTGTGCAATTTCGTTTGTTTGTGCAATTTTTTGAAGTCGCACACGATTCGTTTTATTTTTTTTAGACCTTTGGAAAATCTCTACAAACACGTACGTAGTAAGATGTTCGCTTTAATGGCTAATATATAAAAATACATAGGATCATTTTGTCTTCAAATCATAGGTAATTATGCAGAAATTAAAAGCATGTTGTGCGATTACATAATCTTATTTGGGTAGACTTTTTGCGAAGTAGGCCAAACTACTTGGTGGATAGTAAAGATTAACTTAAATTGATTATGGCCAGTGCTGTAGAACTAGTTTTACCGTGGGAAAGGTCTGAAAAGGATGAAGCAGCGAAATATTAAAAAAGTCATATATGACGTCATGGGTGATCACAGCATTTCACTGAGTTGACTATTACGTCATTCATAAGTTGTTTTAAGTCATAACCTCTGTATGAATATTACCTTTAGTACTTTTATGAAAAGGCTTACACTTACATTCATACGAACCATACGTGACCAAGCTCGGCATATTAAACTGTGATTAATTACTTTCTGATTTCTGAATTAGAAAGGGGATGGCCCCCTGAGCTGTAAGAACTGTGGATCCGTCCCCAAGTGCCCCAACTTTTACTTCCCTGATAATAGACAACGATTATTTTCCTTTGAGTCGTGAATTTGGTTTCAAAGTTATTGACTTATAGATAACTCCAAATGTACAAGACTTTATTTGCATTATTTATCTCACATTGCACTTGTGTCATTAACCCGTTATGACTACAAAAACCTCGTTTTCATGGTGCTTGATTTTTGTCTTTTTTTTTGAAAAGGTAATATCAAGACAGTATTTACGTTGCTCGCATCGTGTGCTTATATTGTATCTTGAAAAACTGTTTAAAAAAAAGATCAACCTGATGGAAGAACAAGAGGTAATTTCATACACGAACATTCAAAATGGTGCCTATGTATACAGGGTGTGTAAAAAAGAAGATCTTCGGAAATTTACCAGCAGCGGAAAAGCTGTTGTAATAGTAACAAAGATACGTAATATTTCCATGGCATCGATAATATTTTATGCACCGTGATAGCATAATGATCATGCATTCACATCATCACAATACATCAATTTTTGAAGGTTGTCTTTTCAATACACACCGTATTATCTTTATTTTTGTGGTGTTGATGATATTGTTATGTCATTGTGAACTAGTGTTAGGGACCGTGGATGATTGACGATTTGGGGCCAATATTCATATGTTCATGTGTTGTAATCAAGTAATAAAAGAGAGGGACTGGAGAAGATTGACGATTTGCGGCCTATATTTATATGTTCTTATGCTGTAATCAAGTAATAAAAGAGCGGGACTGGGGAACATTGATGATTTGGGGCTCATGTTCATATTATAAACATGTAAGAAAAGATTTTTTCTGTGTTTGCACAGGATTAATCAAACCGTGAAGACCTGTGGAAATTATCGAGAGCAGATCAGTGTAAGCCCGAGACCGAATGTCAAGGGTTACACCTGCTCTATAGTTCTTTCGAGGTTTTCATAAGCCTGTGCAAACACGAAAAACATCTTTTATTTCTTTTATAAAACTACAATAATGCGAAACAAACAAATTTAAAACAAACGTTTTAATTTTTCTTCTGCCATGTATTCATGATTGATTTGCAAGTTCTATTTGATTAAATTGATTGAGCTAAGAACGGTTTGCACAGGCTAATGCAAACTCAGCTAAAAACCAATCAGTGCACGCGTTTTATTGCTGTTTGCAATTCATAATCACTATTGATTTCAATAGAAACTTTTAAAGTAGAGCATGCATGTATTCAAATATCCTGTGAGCCTCCTGAACTATTGATCTTCGGCGTTCCTTGTCAACTTGTGCAAACCCTGCTTGATGTTTAATTAATTGTTCAATACGAACTCTTTGTTATAAAGAGAAAGTCATCTTGATTAAGTCGATGAATATTATCAAAATTCTTCAATTGCTATGAAATTTATCAAGTTTTTGAAAAGGGCGTACCCCCAGTTAGTTATCATAGCCGGTTGTCCTACTTGTTCTCTTCAAATGATTCCTTCTCTTCCAGTTGCAGTTTTTCTGTGAAAATAAATTGGTTAATAGTGCAAGCTCATTGAAGCAATTGTATGTCGTGAATTGGGGATTAAAGGTGCTGAAATTCTGTGCTCTTTCATTCTTTCATGAAATGAATTTTGATCTCCTATGCAATTTATTTAATTCTTGAACTGTTTTAGGATTTACGAATGTGTCTTCAATATCGCGTGTATTCAACGCCCAACGTCATCATTCATAAGGATATTTCGACTAGTTTCTACTCTCCATTGACGCAAGATACCATCGTTCAGAACGATATTTCAACTATTTATTCTCCATTGACGCAAGATACCATCGTTCAGAACGATATTTCAACTGTTCATTCTCCATTGACGCAAGATACCGTTATTCAAATGGATATTTCATCTAGTGTCCATTCTCCATTAACACAAGATTCCATTATTCAGAAGGATATTTCAACTAGTGTCCGTTCTCCATTGGCGCACGATACCACTATTCAGAAGGATAATTCTACTAGTGTCCCTTCTCCATTGACGCAAGATTCCAGTATTCATAAGGATACTTCAACTAGTGTCCATTGTCCATTGACGCAAGATACATGGTTGTAATGATTCTTCAAGGAAATTGATTTTCCTGTTATGCAAGGGATTTCCTTTGACATTAATGTGGTCGTTTATCTTTCTTTACATGAATTTCCACCAGAAAGTTGTGATACGGTTTTCACGTATGTGTGGTGTACCTAATGAATGGTGCACGTTGCGGTTGAAGTTGACTAATAATTCTCGTGTAGTAGCTTCAAGTATTTCGTTGTTACTGGCTGAAGCTTGGGTAGAGTAGAACATGTACTTATGGTTTGTGCAAGGCATTGTAGGTACTGCGGAGCCTGGGGACCCATTCCACTCTTTCTCTCTCTCATCATTATTTTTTAACTGAAAGAAATCTGTTGGTCCAGAGTTGGCTAAACTTACAAAGATAGCAATCTGCCTTTCAAGGAGGAAGGGATTGAATTCACGATTTCCACAGTCTAATCCTTACCCTCCGCAGTGAACGTTCCACTTTCTGTAAAATGATTAGAAACCGATAAAAAGCAATTTGGTTTTCTTATGATACAAACTAGACCATGTATTGTCGTAATCGTTATCGAATCGATACTTTAATATCGCCCATCACTGCAAATGTGTTAAATATTTACAGTACTGTAGTATCCATACAACTTACACAAAACCCAATGATTTTTCTAATTTTTCTCATAAGAAATTGTTGCGCTTTTTGCTTGTCTGAGCACATAAGATAACAGCAAGCAAAGAGAGGTTAAAAAAGCAGCAAAAACTTTAACTTTTTAAAAAAGATCTGTTCACAAGTTATATTTAACTAACACACATTAAGGAGACATACTAGTTTTATTAAATTCATTGCTTTCACGAATTTGGAAGTTTTATAAGTTGATTAGAAATAACAATAGAAACCAAACGTTATGTGAAGCAAAAGTGACATTGGTGAAAACTTACATAAACTGAATTATGTGCGATACACATGAAACCTTGATGAAAACGTCATCGCGCATACGAAACGCTAATCTACTGCATGCTATACTTCATGTAACCGAATTTGTCTTCTGCCCTGTCAGATGATTGGATCTAATTATCTTAACAAAACGAGGTGAGATGTCAACACGGGTAGTTCAACCTCATCATCCTCAACATAACTGAATGGTCTTCGATTGACTTGCACTCCAATGTTTACTTTATACAGTTCTTCCAATTTCAGGTTGGCCCTTGTACATCGCCTGTTTTACAACTCTAACAAGGCGCTGAAACTGTCCATTCCATCATGGCGCTTCTAAGATAAAACAGTAACATCTAAAAAAGTAATTGGGAAAACTCCCGAAATCACGAGCTCCCTATTTATGATTAACAAATTGTTGCGAATCTTCATGGCTTCATCACTATTCGATATTTGGAAAGCAAAATTAATTGCAAAGCAAAAATATTTTCAAACAATATAAATGTTCATTTGACTTCACAGGTGGGCTTTTGAGAGAATTGCTTTCAATGACAAGAACAACTGTCATAAAAGATTTCTAGTTACTGTTTCGTTTACCGCAGATAATTTCAACGCAGCGAAATGCTTCTTGACGATTTAAATTGGATGATTGTGTATTAAATAACATTTGCATTTCCAAAAATACTTGCTGACTAAAGGATGAATAAAAAAAGGAAGTCCGTATTTGACTATACTTTTGATGGTCTGGATAAGTGACAAACCGAGAAAATCCGTGTCTAAACAAATCACTAGTTAAGAGGCTGAAAAGTCGCTTTATTTGCCTCAACTCCTCGAGGTAATTTTGCCTTAACAATAGAACACGTTCCACAGGCAAGGAAAGTAGTGACATAAAAAAGCAGATCATGGTGTTTTGAGCCAAACCCGTTGTAGCACCAAAATGCACTACGGGAAAAATTACAAAAAATCTAGTAAGGTAGCTATGTACTTAAACTTTTCAACATTTAATTGCTGCTTTAACATATGTTCTGAATTCCTTCTCATTCTAAAACTACTAATCCTGGGTGTTTAAGCTAAGCAGAAAGTGATATTACGCATTATAAACCAACCATATTTTTTATAAAGTTTTTAATGCGTACATGTTTTGGTATACTTATGCTATATTGATTGCAGAATGAATGAAATAATAAAATACAGGTTAGCATGTGATACTTGATACGTAAATAGACAAACGAGATAAACGCAGAAGTGCAATAGCGATGCTTCAAATAAAAAAAATGACTTATGAAATCAATCGAACTAATGTCCCGTAGACATCGAAAACATCAATAAATGATACAAGCCTTTTAAGACTATCATATATTTTCCTAAATCCACTACTATCCGGCTCTCTTGTCGACTCCAACCCTGTATTGGAAAATCTTTTTTCTTGATCCTTTTCTTTGTTTCCCTTTTCAAATTTGTTTTTGACAAATCATTATTGTAAAGACTTGAAATGTCAATCTGAAAAAGTTCTTGGAAAGCTTCCTTGGTAAGATTTCCTTTCTTTTTATCAATCATTCCAACTAACGTATAAATGGGCTGCAATGTTAGTATATTTTTTAAAAAACTGGATCATTAGCAACAGATGCCTTCTATTCCGAGATTTTTTCTTTATCTTGCAAGTCTAAACGCCCTCCTTTCCATTTAGTGTGTGTAGTTTCCAATTTTTTTTTCCTTTCTTGGTTCGCTGATGCTTGTCGTTCACCAGAAATTTTTACATTACATGCACCAATACCACCGCCAATACTGTTTTCATCTCGGTTTGACAATTTCATGTTATCATCACGACTTTCCAATTCAACTGATCCCCCAACTTAAGCAGACGTGACGATAAACTGACCGAATCTATTGAAAAAATCCACGAACTCTTTCATCACTTTCTCGTCCTCGATATTTTTACATGGTAGATTTTTCACAGCAGATCGAAACACGTCATCAAAACTAATTTTCGTCAAATCAAATTCCTCAACATTTATCTTTGCTAATCTCACTTCTATCAACTTCTTCGTATTGGTTGAAGATACCAAGTCATTTTTCTGACGTTCCATGCTGAGATTTACATCAAGTTCTGAAACCATCTTCAATATACCTGGTGTCATGCTTACATTTAGGCCCAAGTCTTGAAGGCGCGATTTAATGGAACTTTCATTCCTATGTTGATGTATTTCAGAAACTACACTTTCATTTGACTTCAATATTTGTGCAAATTCAGGAATTTTAAAGCCAAATTGTTTATTATCAACGAGGGACAGTTTCAAACTCGAGATGAAATAAAGTCGTCCGTGACAAGGTTGTATCACTGACCAATAAACAAACATCAAGTTTTCAGAAATTACGTTTATTCACCATACATACGATGAAATAAGTATTCAAAAATAAGCTATGAATTGGATTAGCTATAATTGTTTAGAATTAACTATTAGAACAATTTAAGATAGAGCCATTTAAAAATACCTGGATAAAATGATTCGGCACATTTTATCCCAAATTTTTTTTCCAACATTTGAAGGCCATGTTCAGTGATATCGTCGCCATGACGACAGTTGATTTCACTAATTGTTATACTCCTCAATTTTGAATCATCCGATAATCCCATCAAATTCATAGTTACCACCAGTTCTAAAAGTTCTTTTTTTACAGACTTGTCCTGGATGTTGTTCTCGGAAATATACTGCATCGCACGCTGGGCAAGAGAGTTGGTAAAACCTTTGAACAAAAACTTGCAATTATAACAATGTGCTTCTCAGCAGCGATTGGTTGAATACAGTGCAGTTTATCGGTAATTGCACTGTGAAAATGTGTAATTGCAGTGTGGTAATACTTGTAAAAAGCAGTAGCTACTTGCTGTTTTGTATTCTTTGTAATTCTTGAATTTAAAACGATTGCAATTGTGAAAATCATGTTTACTTCGTTTATTTACAACTACTGCCATGTTTTTTTTTAATTGAAATAAGCTTGTTTGGCTTTCACTGTTCTTCAGCCAAGCAGATTAAACTATTTAAATTGCAATTACAGCTTTTCTACAGTGCAATTACACAATTTCACAGTGAGTTGCACTTCAGTCAACTAATCACAGTCGAAAAACATCTTAAGGTATTTTATTACCTATACTATTTCCTAACGTTAATGAAACAAGGAAAAAGTTATTTGCTCCTGCTAAAAAAGTTTTTTCTTATTTCAAGAGTAAACTTCTGACAAACAACAGTCCTAAAGACAAAAATGTGTTAAAAATAAGATGCTTATTTTAATGAAACGTATTCTTGATAACAAATTTTGAAGTTTGAAGTATTTTTTTTAATTTAGTACTCTACAGAAAAATCTTGCTTCCCAAACATATTTGCAAATGTGAGAAATAACTTTTATAGAAAAAATGCGTGATCCGATATCAGGATTATATATAATGCAGCCAAACGTTCATTGATATAATAATTCTTTACTAAAAAAATTAATAGCTACAAATAAAAATGAAAAAAACTACAAATCCTACCTCCTATAGCAGCTTCAGTAAAATCTTTTACGAGTTTCAATTCCTCATCTGATAACTCCCCCTTAATTGCAATTTTGGCTTTAACTTCATGACCATTCGTCGGTCGATTCTTTTTCTTTCGTGTAAATGCAGCATTCAACACCATGTGTCCAAATTTATCTATGACATCGTTTCCATCTTTGCTTTTTTTGAGTAAGCTAAGGCAAGCATTGTATAAATTCAGAGGTTGTCTTTCACCATTGGGAAGAATTGTGAAATCTCCATTCTTTTCAAGTCCGTAATCATTAGGATTATTTTCTATCAATACAACTGGTGCCCTAACTCCCAAAATTTGAAAAACAAGATCTGACACCAAAATTTTCTTTTCTTCCATCGTCTCGTGCCATTTTCTCACGTTGTTGTAACCAACAGAACAAGCATGTGTTAAAATCACGACGAGATTTGGAAGACTGATGTCAACAATATCCAACATCTTGATACCTCTTAAGGATTTTGAAAGTGTGCTATTGACTCCTTTCATTCTGAAATTATTGGCTTTGGCAATTATGAACACAAGATTTGGATAAAACTTTGTTTTCGAAGGAAATTTGGGATGTGTTTCAAAGTATTTTTTCACAGATACAAAATTGCACACATCTTGTTTAACGCCATCGCCATCGTTGAAGCCAGGGGTATCAATAACACTCAAAACTAAATCACTCACTTCATACTTCGGTTCGTCAAAAGTAATGACATACTCAGATGTTTTTTTCATAGATGATTTATAACTATTTGTTTCAGCAACTGGGATTCCATCTCCGGTGTCCAGTAAATGATTTATTGTTGATGATTTACCACATCCAGTACTTCCAACAAGCAATATCATAGCAAATTTAGAATGGCGTTGGATTTTCGCACTTGACAATGAAAAATGATATGGTATCGCCCGTGACATTGGTTCTGCAGTTTCATCAAAATTCTTGAAAGTGTCATATTCCGCTTTAAATTCATCATCAGATGGTAAGGGCTTTAACTTGGAAAACACAGCAATGCCCATTTCTTTGTCAAAACCTAACAAAATTGAGACCATTCGTATGTATTAAAAAAGTAGCTATGGCAATTACAGAAAATTTGATGAAAAATAAGTCAACAGAGCAGATGCATAAGTAAAGGTGTTTTCTGTTTTAATTCACAGCTAACGCGATATTTTTTCGTGCACGAATATATCCTGCATGTTATATTTTTGTTGACCGTATTGTAAAGATTCCTCAACAAGTGTATGTTTCTATGTCATTGACAATATATTAAAATTGCAAAGTTGTAGTTGTTGATGTCCTATAAATGTGCTTTGTTTATCTGTAATTGCACGGTAAGGGCTTTAACTTGGAAAACACAGCAAATGTGTAATTGCAGAAAGGCAATACTTGTAAAAAAGCAGTTGTTACTTGCTGTTTTGTATTCTTTTGTAATTCTTGAATTTAAAACGATTGCAATTGTGAAAATCTTGTTTACTTCGTTTATTTACAACTGCTGCCATGTTTTTTTTAATTGAAATAAGTTTGTTTGGCTTTCACTGTTCTTAAGCGTAGCAGGTTAAAATATTTAAAGTGCAATTACAGCTTTTCTGCAGGGCAATTACATAATTTCACAGTGAGCTGCACTTCAGTCAACTAATCACAGTCGAAAAACATCTCAAGGTATTTTATTACCTATACTAGTTTCTAACGTTAATGTAACAAGGAAAAAGTTATTTGCTCCTGTTAAAAAAGTTTTTTCTTATTTCAAGAGTAAATTTCTGGCAAACAACAGTCCTAAAGACATAAATGTGTTAAAAATAAGATGCATATTTTAATGAAACGTATTCTTGGTAAGAAATTTTGAAGTATTTTTTTTAATTTAGTACTCTACAGAAGTCTTGCTTCCCAAACATATTTGCAAATGTGGGAAATAACTTTTATAGAAAAAAATGCGTGATCTGATATCAGGATTATATAAAATGCATTTAAACGTTCACTGATATAATAATTTTTTATTATAAAAAAATTAATAGCTACAAATAAAAATGAAAAAAAATACAAATCCTACCTCCCTTAGCAGCTTTTTTAAAATCATTTGCGAGTTTCAATTCCTCAACTGATGATGGCTCTTTTTTTGCAATTTTGGCTTTAACCTCATGACCATTCGTCGGTCGATTCTTTTTCTTTCGTGTAAATGCAGCATTCAACAACATTTGGCCATATTTATCTGCTTTATCTCTGCTTTCCCTTAGTAGGCTAAGGCAAGCATTGTATAAATTCAGAGGTTGTCTTTCACCATTGGGAAGAATTGTGAAATCTCCATTCTTTTCAAGTCCATAATCATCAGGATTATTTTCTATCAATACAACTGGCGCCTCACTCCCAAAGAATTAAAAACAAGATCTGACACAAAATTTTTCTTTTCTCGCATGTTCTCTTTCCATTTTCTCACGTTGTAGTAACCAACAGAACAAGCATGTGTTAAAATCACGACGAGATTTGGAAGACTGATGTCAACAATTTCCAACATCTTGATAACTCTCAAGGATTTTGAAAGTGTGCTATTGACTCCCCTAATTCTGTTATCATCGGCTTTTGTGACTAAGAACACAATATTTGAATAAATCTTAGTTTCCTCTTTTAATTCGGGATGCGTTTCGAAATACTTTTTAATAGATAGAAAATTGCATGCATCTTGTTTATCACCATCACCATCATTGAAGCCAGGTGTGTCAATAATTCTCATGGTTAAGTCACTCACTTCATACTTTGGTTCGTCAAAAGTAATAATATACTCAGATGTTTTTTGTGTAGATGATTGATTATTACTTGTCTTAGCAACTCCAGTACCCAGTAAATGATTTATTGTTGATGATTTACCAGATCCACTACTTCCAACAAGCAATATCATAGCAAATTTAGAATGGCGTTGAATTTTCCGGCTTGAAAGTATGAATTTATAAAGTTTAGCTCTGGGATTTTGTTCTGCATTTTCAACATCCATTTTGATAATCTCATTTAATTCTGCCTTTATTTGATCATCAGATGATGGTAAAGGCTTTAATTGAGAAGAGTTGGTAGTGCCCATTTCTTTATCAAAACTTAATCCAATACAACTCTTTTAAATATCTGTGTTGAACGTTGTTGTTCTGCACCGCGGATCTAATGTATTTAAGAAATAGACATTCCAAGCATACAAATAAGTTACGTTGAACATTAAAATACTATGTATACATACACCAAAAAACGCTGTCTTTCACAAGAAAAATGTTCTACTCATATTTTGATATTGTGTGTGTATAAGTGTATACCTTTACAGCGGCGTACCCTTCCCGTGGACGTCGTGGCTAAAGTTCAAATTATTCAGAATAGCAAAATATAATTAAAGAATGAAGTTCATTTTAAGAATGTTTTAACAAATTGTTTATCTATTTTGCTAAAATAAGCAAATGTACATTACCTAACCTAAAATTCTTCGTGAATGCAGACTCGATTAAGTGGCAAAAATTCCAAAGTATCTACTATCCAGCAACGATATTCTAAAGATATTTAAATTATGATAGACTAAAGAACTTATTTTTCGCCAAAGGCTATGAGTTATGCGCTAACGCTAAGGCAAGATGAAAATTTGGTCTTCTAAAGCCTTCTATACTCTATAGCAACTCAATATTTCATGTATTTATCATATAAAATTTGATAATAGGAAATAGTCTTATGAAAACACGGACGCTGATTGTTTGAATGCTCAAAAAACTCGTGTTGTTGGAACACGGGAATTTCAGTGTCACAAGTCTGAGGGACGTTAGAAGACAAATTTTGCACAATTATACAATGAGTGTAGCGTGAAACGTCCGTCTATGTTGAAAAATAAAACAATGTTTTATCTTTCACAATGTTTTAAAAACATGAATTATTTGCAACCAGCGAAGGTTGGTCGGGAGATAAAGCCTTATTAAGATGTTGTTTAACAATATTAACAATACATAACGACACGTTTCTCACCCAAAATTGTATAATATTGCATATTGCAATCTATTGAAGTGGAACTTAACATACGAATAATCTTATTCTTCACAACATTTCACGAAGTTCTTTAAAAGGCGTCATAACAAAAGTCAGTCAAGATTTTGTTAGTAAAATGTCAAGAAATGGCAGTTGATCCTGTTGTTCAGTTTCAAATGAAAATCTAATGTTTGCGTGCTGTGTGTTAATGTAATTATAAAACTTCATGGCCTCAGCTTCACTAGTAAAAACACAAAAAATATTGTCGACGTATCTGCGGTAAAATAGTTGTTTAGTGTCATTGTAATTGTTTAGCCAGTTTCAAAAGAATCTATCGTTCGACGATTTAGGTGACCAAGGTGACCATTTAGGCCTTAAAGTCCAAATATTATGAAACGCTTCTGTACAGATATTGACATTCGACTAATTTTCACATCATTCAAAATCAAAAACCTTTTCTCATTCAAAGACCCAATCCCTGATTCAATTAAATCAATGGTGGTATATGAATTCCATTGTGCGGAATGTAATTCCCGATACATTGGCGAAACTTCGCACTATTTACCATCAGAATCAGGGAACATACCACAACAGACAAAAACTCTCATATCTACCGACACCTTCTTAAATCTCACTCATGTAAAACCACTATGCACCCTCTCTTGCTTCAAAATCATCGACACTGCCGACACTTCATTCTCCTATAAAACCAAAGAAGCACTCCACATTAACAAAACTAACCCTGACCTCAATGTTCAAGTTTTTAAATTCAATACAATATTTAGTTTATAATACGCTCGGACGCTCCTCATTAATTTATCTTATTTCCTTTTTATTGTTGTAATTTATGTATCTTTTATATAAACCTTGTATTATTTATTACTTCACTTATACTGAAGATGATATCATGAGATGTCGAAACATGTCTATTTTAAAAAAACTCGTCGTGTATATTAAATGCGCATTAGCAATAGTGCTTCTACGAAATTATGTTAAGAAATGTTACCTGAATTTTATGGCGAACTTTGACTTGAAAAGCAATAAGATCTGAAATCTGAAAATGCACATATATACGTGTCAAAATTGTTTGCATGTCATTAATACAATCACTCATTATATATTCCACATTGTTTAACAAAATTTGAAATCACAAGGTTAAATAGTTGGAACGTTTGTTCATTATTCATCTAGATTTATGTATTAGCAATAGAGAAAATAGCCAATCCTACACTTACTCAAACGCGCTACTTAAACTTACGCACTTAACTTTACAATTACGTAAAACTACTCAAATTTCAAGTACATTATCCGCCTTGTAATAACTGCACCTTGTTTAGCTAAAGATATAAAAAGCCTGTAAATAAATTGTAAAAGATAGAATACTCACGACTGTTGTAAATAACTTTTTCGCTAGTGATTAAAATAATCACAAAAATTTAATAGCGTTCTAGTACATTGAACTCACGTTCGGAGCTCATACGAAAGATTGATATAACGCTAAATGTTATTAAACAAAAAGAATGATTGCATAATGCTATAACCAACAACTACAAACAATAACGACCTTATCTAACAACATTTGAGAAATTTACCTTCCACTCCTCTTCCTTGTAAACGAGACAAGTCTAGTCAAAAACAGAGAGCCTTATATGCTACAAATCCCGGGCTTGTGACCGGTATAGCAGAGTTAAAAGGTGAAAGCTTTATCATAGATTAATCAACTGAATATTCCAGCTCATATTTGTTTGGAAGCATGTTGAACAGTTCATATGGACAAAGCTCGAATTCCATATTAAAGAAACAGTAACATAATCCGTTGTTAATGTTAGACAATACATCATTGCCCTTCAGTGAAAGCACCCGCTTTCCACTGGAAAAGAATGAATCTATTTTAAACATAGATTGTTCCAAATATTTAACAATGTCATTATACTTATACATATCGGCAAGTAGGTGCTTTTTTCTTTTGCCATTGCAAGAATTGGGAGAGGGGCTTCAGCCTCACCCCTCAGCCCCCGGTCCTGACGTCTGTTACAGGAAGCGTCCCATGTTTTTTTAATTCAATAGTACTGCACCATGTACTGCACACTGCGTACGTCCTAAATCAAGAAATACGAGATATAAATACGTTTCTCAAGTGTAACCATCGAGTTCTATAATAACTGGAGGGGAAACGTCAACAAAATTAGTATAAATTATCAGCGCGCGGCCGCGTGGTCAAAAACATGGCGGATTTTGGTGGTCAAAGTCAGCGGAAAGACGCGGGCTCATGAAATAAAATTTTTGTCGCCCACCCTGATTTGACCACCACGATTGCGAGTATAGAAAATATCAAAACTATATATTTTCCTAACATAAACACTTTTTTAAAACTTTATTTATTAAACTGCCAACTTTTGTGGTTTGCGGATGCTGAAATAGCGACAGAAAAGGGAACATTTCTTGACTCCGGTAAGTAGCACAGTATTAGTTTTACTATTTTGTTTTTAACACGATACTTGAAGAGTGTTTCTACTACTAAGTTTTAATTTAAAGTTATTTTGGTCCAGTCTTGTTTGTTCTTCACTTAATCGCTCGCCAGACGTTGCGGAGCTGTCAATTTTTATCGAGTTTTGCATCCATCTTGTATCATGATCAAGGCATCAAGCTAAACTCTCCTGATTTGAATTGAGTTTACCTCCCAAAAATGGGGCATAATTTGTTCATGTTTTTTTTGAAAAGATGAAGGGAAAGTTTACAACAGAGTTGTGTTGAAATTGAATGCAGTGCCATGCAAAATTAATGAGAAGTATGGTATATGTTGTATAATAAAAATAACTATTAAACTGTTTGCCTGCTCAATTTGACTGACTGTATAGTGTAGACAATTATAATGGATTTGGAAAGTTGGATTTATGCAAACAATTTTAAAGTACTACTTAGCGTTTCTGTAAATGAAGTATGTATTGTTATAGTAAACAGGTTACTACTTGTTTCTACCTTGAAATTTTTGTTCAACAGTAGCTAATGATTATATTATTAATATGCATGAATAATTAAACATATTATTGTCTCATCTCATTTAATCCATACTTGGTATGATTCCAGGTGATCCACAAATTCACATCGGATGCATTGGTTACAATGAAGTTGAACGTAGAAGAAGCAAAAATAGATGGCAAAGAAATTCTTTGTGTCTTATGAAGAATTAGTGGAATTCAATAAAAAGAATTCTTTAAACAAATTGTAAACAAATTTAAATTTGCTTATGGTCAAGCAACCTAGTCAAGGAAGCAAAGTCTGTCTTCAACATGTGACCTTTCCAATTATTTAGTTTCTTTGTACAAATACTATTTTCGAGAAACTTCATTTGTAAGTCTTTCATTAATATTTTTTTACCAAGAGATAAAAGGAACTAATTCAAAGGCTTGATGTAAAATACAAAGATTTAACAAGTTGTTTATCATTTAATCCCCAAATGTTAGTTTGTACATATAAATAATTAGTATTGGTAGCTGTAAGTTGTTTAAGCAAAACAGAAGAGTAGTAGTGCTCGAAGGGGTTAGCATTTTTGAAAAATTATATCTTGTTCATGACATATATTACACAATTCCAAAAAACTGTAAGTAATGCACAATAATATCTATAGAACTTGATAAATTTCTTCACCTACACTGTCAAATAACTATTTTGCCTTCATGCAGCAATAGAAAGTGTTTTTGTCAGACAAACCAATGCACTTTAGTTTCCAAGTTTGTAATTTCAATGGAAAATTAATGTAGTTCTGTTCAGTAATAGATCCAAGATTCTGCCAAGCTGTTTACAAAATACAAATTACCAAGCAACAGTGTCATGGTGTTTTGAATTTTTTTCTTATTTGTAGCTCTTCTAGTTCAACATACTTTCTTTATGAGTTTTCAGTAGATTTATCAGGTAAGGACAATACACTTATGATACTTATCCATGGTAAACTTTCAGTTGGCTTATGTCGTAGGACTGAAGCAAACATTTTATCGCTTCCTTAGGAGCATTTTTACACAGATTTATCCATTTGAAGCAAGAAAAATAGTTGCACCAAACTGTTTTCAAACAGTCAAACATACAGAAGCATGAAATAATGCATAAGTTTGACAAGATTGACAGGTCTAAGTAAAGAATGCCGTTTGATTTTCACTTTTAAA